CCATTGGCCCTCCAGCCTTGGCAAGCTGTCCTGAAGCCCCTCATTAACAATTAGGAAATGGTTCACAAACTGGTCCATTCTTCAGCTCAGGCTTGGCTTTCCTTCCTCTTGTCTTCTCATTTGAATATTTAGAGAGTGACACATAAGTGAACCCAGCACAGTTCCAGCAGGAACAATAACGGTGTAATACTCCTCAGTATTAAACATTAGCAAACAGTCGACGTGACAACAGCGTCTTTCACCGAGTGAAACAGACGATATCTGAACATTGCTTCTGAACCCTACCCTACCCACACAACATCACTATAGACACTACAGACACCAGAAACCTGCACAGTATCCACGAGTGCCTAAAACTGAACAGTGAGACATAAAAAGAGCACGACTACCATTAATAATCACTATTATTTCGTAACTATCACATGTCAAAATTACACCTTGACGTTTTTTAAAGCAAATGTCACTGAAATTCAGACTCTGAACTGGACAATGCAGAAGCTCGTGTTACATTTAAGATCATGTCTTCATTTAACATTTTGCTGATCTTAAAATTTAACGTTTAGTATTGTTGTGGTGTGAATAGTGCGGGGCTGTAATTCTACTTTGCTGATATTTTTTGTGCTTGTCTTGGGCTCCAGCTTTTAAATGTTTAAATTCAGAATGAATAGCCCTGGCTTTTAATTAGCTGGCAGCATGCATCGCAGTTAGACAGATAACGTGGTTATTCAATAACCGATTATTGTGGTGTTGGGGGCCATTTTTTTCCATTTTCTATTAATCTGTTCTGATGGCTCTCCAGGCTTTCCTGCGACCTGACATGTGAGACTTCAGATTTTAGCCCGGATCCCCCCAAAAAAACCAAAAAGCAAACTTGCTCACAAAACTAGTAGATAGTACTGTACACTGCAAAACATAAAATAAAAAAAAATCTAATCAAAATTTATTTATATAGCACATATTAAAACAACAGTGTTGACCATAGTGCTTCACAGTCAGTAAAAGCATGAGACAGTTAAAACAAACAATAAAAGAGGACAACAAACAATAGGTAACAACACAACAAGCTAGACCAGCCAACTAGACAGAATCAAAAGCCAAAGTAAAAAAATAAGTTTTAAGACGTGATTTAAAAGACTGGATAGACTCGGCAGTACGAATATGAACAGGGAGGTTATTCCAGAGTCTGGGTGCCACGGATGCATAAGCTGTGTAAATCAGTAAATACTCTCAATTTAATATATCTATGCTAACTTTTGCATTTGAATGTGAAGCACTTAAGAAGTTGCATGAACTTAATGGTTTACCAAAGTAAATGGCTTCAAAGTTTAAAGGTAAATGTATTTTATACTACCCTAGTTTGGCAAGTGTAAACTCAGGAAAATGTTGCAGTAATTTCCTGTTTTTCATAGAAAGCTAAGTGTTTCTACACAATTATTACCTGTTAAGAAACTATGAACATTTAGCAACATTTAGCAACATTCAGGGTTTTTTTTTAGGGGTGGCTGTAGCTCAGGTGGCAGAGCAGATCAGCCACTAACCAGAAGGTTAGTGGCTGATCTGCTGATCGGAGGTTCGATCCCAGGCTGCTCCTGTCTGCATGCCAAATATCCTTGGGCAAGTTACTAACCCCATGTTGCTCTCCGATGCATCCATTGGAGTGTGAATGTGTACGAATGTTAGATACTTAGCATGTTTAAGTTTAGAAGTTTAGCAAGTTTAGAAGTGCTTGTGTGATTGGGTGAATGAATTAGCTGTATAAAGCGCTTTGAGTGCTCGGACAGAGTAGAAAAGCGCTATATAAGAACCAGTCCATTTACCATTCAGCAACATTAACCCTCAACATTCATCTCTGCAGGAGGCTGTTGCTAGCTAAACCGTCACACAAACACTTGGAACAAAAACACAACATAACAGAAACAATGATCACAGCGTGACTGAATTAAGGTTTTGAAAATGAAGTTGTGTATGTACAACTATATGCAAAACTTAGAAAACTAGTAAATATTAGGAGGCAGTGATTAAAGTTAAATATGGTCAGCGAGTTTACTCTATGTGACATTACTAATGAGGTGTTCTTCCATCCCTGTTGTTACTAGCATCGCTTTGAGTCCCAGGTCTTTTCAGTGACTATTCCTTCAGTGGCTTTTTTGAGGGTTAAGACTTGGATTTACGGTGAAGATCCAGGAATGAATCGCCTTAAGAGCACAGAATTATAACTCTGCTCACACATGTGTGTGTGTCTGTGTGATAGCAAAGCCAGCTGATCAGATTACACAACAGCTTGCTAATACAGTAGCAGCAGAGAGCTACTACAGTGATGGATATATTTACCATTGAGCATTTTTATTTCTCAACAGGTAATTAGTAAAAATTTGCTTTTGTTTCTTAATCTTCTGAGTCTGTAGGAGCTTCTGAAGCCACCACCATGGACCAATTACAAGTTAACTATAAGAGCTGAGTCTGGATTTTACTTTGCAGGACAAATTTAGATGTTGGCAAACACAATTAAGATCATAACACCACACTGACTCATTCATTCATGGCCCAACAGTAAAGGCTTGCAGTTTCCCGATTGTGTTTTCTGTGCACAGGAACAGCAGCAGGTATGAGCCAGACAGGCAGCTGTAAGATTACTAGTTAGGGGATAAACTGTCTGCTGGCACACACACACAGACACACACACACACATACACACACTCACTCATTTCTACAAGCTGCAACTAGCTTAAGACACCACAACCTGTTTAATAACATCTTAGAGGGAGTAAAGCACACGTGTGTTTCACACATTCAGCTGACACTCACGTCCAGAGCGATTTAGGCTGATTATAGTAAACATTTAAAACAAGTTTTAAATACCTGTATGCACAAAATTACATGCAAACAATGGCAGGCAGGTGGGTGCAAAGAGCCAAGTGATGCGGTCACACACTGAGGATCTACTGCTGGAATTTCAGGTTAAAAAAAGAAACGGCAAAAGAAATTAACAGAGGAGCAAATGTGCAAAATATTTAATCAAAAATCATCGTGAAATATTTTAAAGTGGCATTAAGTGTAACAAATCAAACTGTGGACAGTAAGTATTTATTTTCTTTCCTGTGAATTCAAAGTAAAGACACTCCAGATGAAGCCAAGCATTGTGTTAGGAGAAATCAGCTTTAGCATGGGTTAGGAAAAGCTAACAGCAGAGAGATGTTGAGAGAGAGGCATGGCTCTCAAATAATCCAGAACGGAAATTAAGATGGAGCTAGAAGTGCAATTTCTAGGGGGAAAAGCCACTTACATAAAATAAATTTAAAAAATACATACAATTCAATTTTATTTTATTTACACAGCGACAAATCACAACAACAGCCACCTCAAGGCAATTTTTATTGTACGGTCGACCCTACAATAATACATACAGAGAAAAGCCCAACAATCATATGACCCCCTATGAGCAGCACTTTGGCGACAGTGGGAAGGAAAAACTCCCTTTTAACAGGAAGAAACCTCCGGCAGAACCAGGCTCAGGGAGGGGCGGGGCCATCTGCTGTGATTGGTTGGGGTGAGAGAAGGAAGACAGGATAAAGACATGCTGTGGAAGAGAGACATTCATAACTACGGAGTCCTGCAGGGGACATGGGAGAAAAAAATTAAGACGGACTTTTGCGAGATCTCGCAAAACAAACTCGGGATCTCGCAAAACTTTTGCAAAACTTTTGCGAGATCTCGCAAACGTTTTAGCCGCATTCTTCGGACGCTGGCTCGAAGCCGACCGGCAAGTCGAGGCACGATGTGCTGGGAAAGCGGTGTTCCTCCCGGCTGTACTAGGTCTCGACCTCCCGTTAGTTCAAAGCTAACGGGAAGTCGAGACCTCCCGTTAGCTTCGAGCTAACCGGAAGAATGCGGCTAAAACTTTTGCGATATCTCGCAAAAGTTTTGCGAGATCCCGAGTTAGTTTTGCGAGATCTTGCAAAAGTCCATCTTAATTAATTTTTCTCCCATGTCCCCTGCGGGGCTCCGTACATAACGGCCAACCTCACCTTAATACAAATAAGTTCCCGGAGCAGTTTCAAGATGGCCGCCTAGTGGTGAGACTTGCTTCCAGAGGAATTTTTTCCAACATGCAAGCAGTTGTATACGGCTGTAATCCACTACTATGCCTATCCGCATTTTCAAGTTACAGCCTTTACATTTTGGCTTTACTAATAAGAGCTACATATACGTTTATCATCAACTATGTTGCACAAGCAAAGAAATTAACACAAGGGAAACGAAAGAAGCACGTTTGGGTGTTTGAGGGCATCTAAAATCCTCATAATAAGGCCAGGAACACATTTAAAGGGCCTTTTATGAATGTCCCTATTTCCTGTCACACGTTTCCTCGTACAATGGTAAGTGGACTTACTTACATAGGGCCTTTCTACTCTAATTGAGCACTCAAAATGCTTTATACTACCAGCCTCATTCACCCAATCACACACATTCATACAACGCTTTTATTCTCCAAACGCCTTGTCTAACATTCATGCA